ATTATGAACAGCTTGAAAACGTTAAGGTAATCTGGGATTTTATTTCCACTCGTTGGTGCAAAGTGCACGTCACATGTTGTCTAAATGATATGATATTTAGAAATGCCTCTAAAGTTTTGAGGAAATGAATTTTCATATGAACATTCAGCGGTCCAACTAAATTTATCAGTGGCCGTAAAGTCGCTCCTTTTAACAACCCTGTCATTTGAGTTGTAAGCTTCTACAGTCTCCATTCAGGCAGGTTTTCACCAGCGACAGAATGGGATACCTGAAAACGCTTACGACCCTGTGAAAATCGGGGAAGTAAGAGAAGGCGTTAGCTCGATGGAAAATTAAAACGTTTTTAGTTACCTGGCGCTTCAGAGCCTATGATCCTTCGAAAAGTAGATTATCGGACTCGAAAAAATGTTGCTGAAGAACCAACTAATCAAAACACCATTTCTCAGGCCATTCGAGTTCAATCTAATGAGCCAATGGATACTAAGCGACGGAGTCATAAGCGGAAACGAAGCTATGAATGCTTCCTTTTTCGGTCTACGCCTCTAATTACGATTCCGACTGTGTCGTTAGTGAAAATCAGCCTGTAAAAATCACTTTTACGGTAGTATTACCGATAGTACAAAAAAATAAAAATAACCCTCTCTATTCCTTTCTCTAAGGCTGTGACCCACAGAAGCATATTTAGCTGAACAGCCGCATTGATGAGATTTGCGTTAGGATGTATCAAGAAACCACCCCGGTTTTTTTCATTCGCAGATATTTCAGGGTAATTGGGATAGCAACACGGTGGTTTACAATGTCATCACGCCAGTGATCTACACACGGTATATTCGCATTCTGCCAAAGTCGTGGGAATCTCATTTAAGCATGAGAGCGGAGTTTTATACCTGTCAATATGGTAAATACTTAAAATATATATAGTTTTTACTTCACAGAGTTGAACGTTGAATTCCTACAGAAACTACTATTTCGCCGATTGGGTCGCCGACATCCCAGCATATCATTACCATGTTGTTCCATATCGCAATGGCCCAAGATATGCCCTTAGGCCAAAAACAGTAAAAGTCTAGAGAGAAATCTCCCTATTCGTAGGTTAGAGTGTTCCTGTTTTTTTCTTTTTTGACAGATGACGACATTTTGGACAGCTATCAACGTCTTTCTAAAAAAAACTGAATGACATCTTTAGTTTTCAATGAGTATTCAAAGATTAGATCTGAAGTGTCTTGCCAAAGCTCAACCAACGAGCTTCAGTTAGTACAGGAGTGAAGCCATGCACGAGGGACATCTGAAACAGGCCTCCTGCGAACAGCTAGGATCGGCAATGTCGAGGCGTCGCCATTATCCATTTTTTGCCAATGAAGGTTTTAGTTTATTGATAGGCGCTCTGTAGCGCTTTGTAAGGGATCTGATCGCGACATTGAAATTTTGGAATCCTGTTCAAGTTCTCAGGTTTTCCCCGTCTTATTCTGAAGTATTATTCATCTTCTTACAGACGTCAATGTCGAGCGCGTCAACTTAACATCCTCTGTTCCGAGCTCAACTGGTGTCGGTCTTCAGTGGTCACCTCCGGACACGGAGAAGTTGGGAGAACCGCTGTCCGGATACCGAGTGGAAATTTTTGATTTGCTGAGAGGAGAGCGTTTTAACTACACAGTGAACTCGTCCATGTCAGGTGCAAACCTGGACATTTTGAAACCGTTTACACCGTATGAGTTTAAAGTTTATGGCTTCACAAGCTCCTGGGAAGGCAATATTACTGACATAATCAGCTTGAAAACACATGAAGACGGTAGGTTTTAGGACCGCGGTACATATGGTACATTCAGAGTTTTTAGCTCTTTTGGGAAGTGATAGTATGCAATAGCTTAATGTGAACGTTGTTATATATCCAGGAAAGCATTAAACATCGTATTCAGCTAAGAAAACTAAGGAAAGACTAGAGCGCTTTAATTTTCAATTGAGTGTTGTAAGACCAGAACCGAAGTAATCACAATGGCAATTAGAACGATGGACGGAACAGGCGCGTAGGGAAATCGCTCGGAAAACGCGAGAGACTAAAACGAATTGGTTCTAATTTAAAAACTGATCGGTTGAGGAAGTAGTGGGGCGAGATTTCTTGACCAATCTCAGAGCGAAATGGCGCAAAACCAAAGCAATCTTGGACTACCCCGACACTCAGTTGAAAATTTCTCTATCGATTCATTTCCTTTTCGCAATTCAGTCAAAGAAGATTTGAACACAACCAGAAGGTTAAACAACCGTGAGAATGTTCGGACGTTCGTAAGTGTTCGTGGTTAACCCGAATACTTCCGTTGATGGTTGACTGTGAACCTTTTTTTTTCAGCTCCAAGTCAATCTCCAAGAAATTTCACTCTTAAACACACCACAAAGTCGGAACTAACCTTCCAGCTTAAACCAGTGGACGAGTACCATATCAATGGTGTACTGCGCGGCTACAAAGTCACCTATGGTGAAAGCAATTCTCCAAACGACACGTGGACGACTTTAGTTATCAACGCTACTCACGGCAGGCGTAGGAAGAGAAGCACTGAGAACGAGACACTTAGCTTCAGTCTTCACAATTTAAAGAAATACACCACGTACACAATTACTGTGTTGGCTTTCACCATCAAAGATGGTGTTCCAACATTGGCG